TTAATATTGATATATTCTCGTTATAAAAGTGGTTCACTTATAACTACATCGTCATATCGTTATAAAATTGACTCACACATACTTTTTGTCATTACAAAAGTAGCTCGCATATACGCATACCATTACAAAAGTGATAAAAAAATCAATTTTAAATTATTTTTTTTATTTTCAATATTTGAAAAAAAATCATGTATTTAATATTTTTCACACATAAATTATTTTTTAACTTCTTTGATTATTATTATTTGAGTTTGGTATTCTTGTTTCATTTTTACTTTCACTATTTAGTGTAAAACTAAGCGAAATATAAAGAAATAAGTGTGAATGAAAAAAGAGAAAATAAATTAAAACTAATATAATTTTTCAAGAAAATAAGTGAAAAAATAAATTTGATCATCAAAATAATTCAAATTAGCGGTTAAATTAAAAAAGTAATAAAAAACATATGAGAAGGATCAAATATACACGTACATGGATTTTTTTAATATAAAAAAAATCACGCCCTATACACATTTAAGAGTCAATTTTACGGGTTTTAAACATACTTTTAAAAAATTCTTACTTATAACATTTTATTTACGAGTTATGACATATCATTTAAAGTTAATTTTATTTAAAAATTAATTTCCATTTATTTAATAAATGATTAATCTATTTATGGTTTATTATTATTAATTAATAATATGTAATTAAATTGATTTATGTTCCTTTTTTAAATCTGAAATTATCAGTTACATAGATATAGGGATTCACCTACAACATGTTTCCTTCTTTACCGTTACCACCTCCCATACATCAATCCCACCCTCCTCCAAATCGCCCATATGTCAATCCCACCCCCTCCCCCCACGCTCATCCAATTCTACACGCCATTAACACAGCAGCCCACTTTTACCTTCATCTATCACATCTTTCTCACCACCAAACTACACCAACTTCACAATCCTCCATTCAATTTAGTTTTTTCAACAAAATCATGTCAAAGAAAACGGTTGTAACTCCTCAAAAGATCCCTCTATTAGTCGAAGGAACTTATACAGATGAAGTTCATGCTCCATCTTTCAACATTTTGACTCAAACACCGTCGCCAAACATTGTTTGAAACTCCGGCTAGGGGTGATTCATCTCTATTGAAAGATCAAAAACAGAAAGAAAAATAAACAACTCAAATAAAAGAGTGAGTCCGATAAATCGAAAGGGAAGAAGAGGAAGGGGAAAAATGTTGAAACCCCTTCTGATTCTGATTCTGATTTTGTTACTGAATAAAAAAAGAAAAAAGGAAAAAAATCAATGAATGTTGAAGTTGTGAAAATCAATGAATGTCTATCTTGTAGATGGTTTTGACGACTGAGCAACACCTAAAAAAGACAATTAGGGTAAGTATTGTATTCAATTTATTTTCACATTATTAAAAGTACTGTTTTTTCTTTAAAAATATCACATTATTCTTATATTATTTTCGAAATAGTTGTTTAGATGAAACGTGTATGAAATCTGATTGATATGTGTATGATTTCGATTAAACAGTTGATTCTTGGATATTGTATGATTTGTGATATAATAGTGGTATACAAATGGTATGAATTGTGTTTTAATAGTAGTGTGATTGTCTATTAACTGTATATACAAAGAGTGAGGATGGCGCGATCAGTGAGAGTGAAGTTACTGGTACGGTTGCTAGCAAATTTGGTGGACCTCGCATAGCAAAAGAACATATTCCGGATACCACCAATTATCATACACCAAGACTACATACAAGAAATTTGGAATAGTTGATTGCACCTTCTACTTTTTTAGAATTACATGCTATTTTTTTTTTACTTTTGGACAACTTTTTTGTGTTTAAGTATTTCATGATATCTAATACCATATGTTTTCTTCCAATCAGTTATCATCTACATATGAATGACTATTTGGCTATTATAATTTCAGGATACTAGTAATATACAAGCTTCATACCATTTGGATTCACTATTTTAAAATATCAGTGTGTATCCAAATTGTACAATTAATGGATAAAATGTGTGTGAAATTTGATTAATATGTGTATGACACTGAATTTAATGTTTGATGGTTGGATATTGTATTAATTGTGATATAATATTGGTATACAAATGATATGCATTGTGTGATTATATGAAATTGATTTATTGTTGGTATAATATGTGTGATATAAGCTAAAGTTCGTGTTGGAATGAAACTTGAATAAGATTGGTATAAAATTTGTTATATATTTACATCATCTTATATATTAATCTGGAATACATTTTATTTCCAAGTATATTAAATCGGTATGAATAATTAATGAATCGCGTATATGAAATCTGGAATCTAAAATCTGTACAAATATTTACACTATCTTATATATTAATCTGGAATAAATTTTATTTCCAAGTATATGAAATCTGTATGAATAATTAAGGAATCACGTCTATGAAATCTGGAATTTGAAATCGGAAACATGTACAAATATTTACACTATCTTATATATTAATTTGGAATAAATTTTATTTCCAAGTATATGAAATCGTAAAGAAATCTACATTAGCTTTCTTTTGATCTAAAAAAACCCGCACACCAACATCATTGTGGATACTAACAGGGGGACATCTATCACTAACTATATATTTTATCTCTATATTGTGAATATTCGCATCTATCATTAGTTGCGATGTTATCGCACTTACTAGACCACTATAAAGACTAGAATACTCATATATAATCCCCTCCATCTGAAAACCAACATATTTCCCTGTTTCATTAAAAAAACAATAACAATTAGTCTTACATAATACAAAAATTAAAAAAAAATTATACACACTTATCATTATTTTTTTCATACAAAAATCATTCAGACAGTAAACTACAAACAATTTTCATTAAAAAATAAAATTTCAGATTTCATACTCACTTAAATACAAATTTCATACATACAATCATCATTTATACCAAATTTATACATTTCTCATACCAAATAGTTCATTCCTTTCACACAAATTTATACATAATTGACAAAACTTATATTAACAATAACATTTCAAATTTCATACCAACTTAAAACATTTTTCATACAATTATTCAAAATTCTAAATAACTTTTTTTACTAACTAGTTAACACACTTTCTTACCAACTTAAAACAACTGTCATACAATTCTTCAAAATTCTAAATAACCTTTTTTTCACATTAGTGAATACACCTTCATACCAAATTCATTACACTTATACTAACAAATTCATCAAAACTATACATTTTAATATTTTTTTTCAGGAAAAAAAATAGTAATCAATATTATAATTTTGATCTACGTACCCAATCTACAAAGATAAAAATATTTATATGTTATACATTTATACTCAAATCTTTCATATATTGCGGCAACTTCTCACAAAATCATTGTTTTGCCAGTATAAAAAATAACCAAAAAACAAAAAATATAATGACATTAAACCCCTACCAAAAAACAGAAACTTACCAAGAAAATCACTAATATTACAGTTTCACAACAACTAATACGTATTATGAACAAAATGTATTGTTTATACAAAAAAACATATCACATTCAATATAGTGACGATGTACAAAAACAAAATCACAAAATGTGATTTACAGTTTCATTTTTTTTTTTCATTTCACTGAAATCCAAATACAAATAGTAAACAATTAAAAATACTAACCTGAAGGATCCCATCTTCCGCCATGTTTAATTAATATTGATACGTAGTTGTCCATCACAAAAAAAATAGGATTTTTCAAACAAAAAAAAAACTTCAATTAGTCGCCAGTGACAAAATTTTTGGAAGAAAATTGAAGAGAGAGAAACGTGGAAGAAAAATGGATAAAATCAGATTTTTGAATTAATTTTAACAAATTAGAGTGAATTAAGGAAACTGAATATTCTTAGTTAGTTTGAGATTCCTTAATTCATGCTAATTAATAATTATCTTAAATTAATTCAAATTTAAGTGACACCCCTATTTCCGTTTTTTTTTCATTTTTTCCTTATTAATTACATATTATTAATTAATAATAAAAAACCATAAATAGATTAATCATTTATTAAATAAATGAAAATTGATTTTTAAAATCAGATTTTTGAATTAATTTTAACAAATTAGATTGAATTAAGGAAACTGAATATTCTTAATTAGTTTGGATCCCTTATTTCATGCTAATCATTAATTATCTAAAATAAATTCAAATTAAATTACAGCCCACAATTTCAGTTTTTTACTTTATTATTTCTAATTCCGTTTTTTTTAAAACAAAATTCATTTATCTTTTTATTTATTTTTTAAGTTTTTTCCAATTAATAAAAACATTTCTTTTTTTTTAACTTGTTATAACCTGAAATTTTTAATGTTATAACTTGAAAGTCTAAATCTACTGTTATAGCTTGAAAATAGTACTATAATATATGTCATATATGAAATTTACACATAAAAAACATATGAGAAGGATCAAATATACACGTACATGGATTTTTTTAATATAAAAAAAGTTAATAAAAATTAATTTCATTTTAATTAGATGCAAATAGTATATATAAGTTATTTGTAAAACAATAATGTATATATAAATCACTTTCATAACGATGGGTATATGAGCTATAAATAACAAAGTTTGGGATATATCATATCCTTTTCCCATATAAGTTGATGGCTAAAGAACAAAATTTTTAATACAAATTAGCCAATTTAAAAAACAAAACATGCAATTTTACGTAGTTATAATGCTCCAACTTTTATATAGCTATAACGAAAAGAAAGTGGAGGCTCTAGTTTGACCACTTAAACTACACAATAGTATAATTTTACTAGTGGAGTGTGAGGAAGGTGAGGTGTACCGTGTACGGTAACCTTCTATATGGAGTAGGGAGGATGTTTCCAGTATACAATCGGCTAAAAAAGAACCGATTTATCAAAATACGTTCGAATGAAATGCAACAATAAAATCTCCAAACCTTTCAAAAAAAAGTGTTTTTTGGCTCGAGAAAGAAGATGAAGGAAACAAATGACAAAATAACCACAAACAAAAAGTGAAGGTTAATTAATAATTTCAAGAGCTAAGTTCAGTTGAGAAAAAACATCATTCATATACACACACAGAGCCATAACCTTGACAGCTTAGGAACTAACTAGTACTGAGTTCAAGAGAGTTCCTTGGTTTCAAGGGCTGCAATTTCTTTGACAACTTGTGCTTTGTCAGCCTCAAATTGCTCATCCTCTGTAAGATAGGAAAAGATAAAGAGTTAGGAATAATGTTACGTTTTCGGATAATTGTTGTGTCCGAGCCAGCTTAACTGTGAGGTATCCTTTCACGAGATACAGTTCTGAGTTCATATTTATGAGCATGTAACATATTGGTAATTGATATTTACTTTGTATGTATGTACCTTTATCAGTCTTAAAATCGGCAAAGAGGCGCAGAAGCTTGCTTCTATTTGCGACGAGGATGCTAATAATATCTGAAGGCTTGTTCTTGTTTGCAGCAAATAACTGCAAAAGACGAAAGTCAGAGACGAAGCTGTTGCTAACGGAACAGTCAGCGGACGTGGTTAAAAAAAGTCAAAATCAATAGAGTACCTTGAAAACATGGAATGCTTCTATCTGGATACTCTTGCTTGATTCCTGCCAAATGAGGAAATCAGCAATCAACAAAAAATCACAGAAATTCAAGAAGATATTTTGATGGCGTAGCGTAGCCATTCTTCTCGGTGCGAGGCTGGCTTTTCAGATCATCAGCTAAAGTGATGGGAAAAGGGAGCTGCACAACTTTCTCTATACACGTAAAAGTTGCCATCCGAGTCTCTAAACTTGTTCAAATGAGTGAGTGACATTCGTTCAAGTCTTTTGTGCTAAGTAAAAAGTAGTCCATCTAATTTTACTCATTTCACAAGTTAACGATTTGTCCATTGGATTGGGTTGGACTTATCACACACAAAAACTTGAACTGATGTTGCAAAGCGAATATCAACTGCAACCATTTCATGATAGATATGGTAAAAACCCCACCACCCACAAAATAAGAAGACGATAAAATCAAATGCACCAAAAGAACTAAGAAACTTCAAGAGAATACAAGATTAAAGAATAAAGTAGAATGACGGTCAGGAAGAGAGGGCTGAAATAAGAACAATGCAACAAAATATAGCTCAATACCCTGAGAAGATTCATAAGGATCCTTAAGTTGTCTCTTGAACTAACGTAACGCGTCATTACTGCGGCATTTGAGCGGTCGAGCAGGATGTCTCCCAACAGCTGCAACAATAAAACAAATATCTTTAAAGATTAAAAGAAAAACAATGAAAAAGGGATACCTGTCAGGCAACAAGCTACCTAAATATAAATTGGAAAGACTCACTGTGTGAAAAAAATGAAGAAAGACTCCAGAACTATAATGACCTATAGTGGTGTATAACATTATGAATTTTCGGTAGAAAGAAATGACAGAGAGTCTGAATAAATGGAAAAAAAGAAGAAAAAACCTGAACCACTGGAAATTTCTCTTCAAAGTCAAAAGGTTCTATTTCCCGTCAATCAACAGATTGAATCACTCCATTCTAGTGAATCTGTAAAACTGCTAAATTTTGAATACATGAATTTCATTCAATTCTCTCTTATCCAAGACCCTCAATTTCCTCCTCTTCCCTGCTTTATCGTGGACAGAGGATATCTGCTGAGCCCAACCCAAAAGGTACATATAAAAATGTTTTCTAAAGAATTTACGATGTCAACTACAAACACAGCCCTGAAAAGGAAGTTGCAAAAACAACTCTTTCAACAAAATGAGGATCAGTATACAAGGGATCAAGAAAAGATGTTTTCAATGTAATATGAGGAGGGCTTGAGGTAGAAAATGCACATCAAACATGTATGGATACTATGTACTTGGTTCCACCGAGATACATACCAAAAGATGTGAAAAAGTTTCTGAAGAAACAGAATTTTTCGGAAGTATATTATTCAGCACAAGTTGTCTACAAGAAGAGCGGAGGCTTCCCTTACCTTGATAGCTTGCCTTCTGGTGATGTAATTACTGGACTCTAGCAGTTTGGAGTTATACTCAGCAAAGAACTGAAAGCAAAACCAGCACAGAATAAGTTCCTCGTGATTCATTTATCGAAGAAAGAGTACTTGATGAGAAAATCCAACAAGAAAACCGGAAAAAGCTATTAGAAGTTAAAAAATATATATCATACAGATAAATGTTGAAAACGTTTATGTACCAATCATTAACCCCAAGTACAAAACACTGAGAATTCATGTAGCTGGCACTAAAATCCTCCTTACCGATATCCTTCAGATAATAACAGTTGATCCTATTCTGCCTACCCTCAACTACACAAACCTGGGTGAAAGGAAAAGGGCAGAAACAAGAACAGACTCTAAGGTTCTTAACACAACTTCTCTTTCCAATTACATGTCACAATTTATCACCCCTTTGTTGATAATGGAAAGGTGTCTCAAGAGGCACCATCGGGTGAAAGCAAGAGTTTCTAAGATTAATAAAGTAGACTCTGAAAGCCATAAAGATGAAGCCCCAAAACATAAACGTAAAATGTGCATAAACTGAGTGTTCCATCAGTACTATAAGAATCATTTCACTGTAATAAAGAAAATAATAGTGCCTACAACAAAACACGTTAAGTATCAAAGCTATATTAAGCAAGAAGTTTCTAAAGAACAACTTTTAACTATAGATAACAAAACAAGCAGCAACAAGTTCATAGAGAACTCCTGGTAACTATGGTACAAACAATTCACTTGCATGTGTACAATAACAAGCAATAAGACAAATATACTAAATCTATTACCCAGTCATAATTCTTCGAAAGAAACTCAGCTACTGTTGATTTGTGCCTCGTCAAGAGTTCCTGCAAAAAATATTGCAACCAAATTGGGATAATGCTGCAGTAGGCATGAGAAGCAACTCTTAAGAAAGAGCAAAAGCTTCTCAGAACAACAATAAATATGTTAAGACCACTATTAGCTTTAAATGACCATAGTACGACCAATCTACTGAATTTCAGTAGAAATTAATTCAGCAAGTTCTTACAGCAGACATTAAGAAGCCCCAATTATTGATTTGATAAAAGCAAGCTAACCACACCCTATACAGCCAAGGGTTCATGTGGAGTACAATTAGCTTCTCTTTCCTTCTTTTCCTAAGAGGTTTGCTAGTGCAATAGGGAATAAGATTGATGCCATATTTGCTTGAATAGCCATTGAAATGTCAACAGAATATTTTCAGGGAACAACGATGATCTATCAGATATTCATTCCACTAACATAATTAAAAGGACCCAACCTTAAAAGTTGCAGCGGCATCAGCAGCAATGTCAAAATTTGGCAGCTGAATATAATCAAAAAACTTCTTCACGTGCTCTGATTCCAAGACATACCTAACAACAGAAGCACATATATATGTTCTCAAAAAATAGATCCAGCAGTAGCAGCATAAGGTTGCAACACGTTTCATTCACACTCAAGAATTTAGAAATAGATAGCAAAAAGAAAGCAATTACGTACTTCAATTTAGATCAGATATATGAATCCTCTAATACCAATCAATTCAAACGATATATAATTGTTTGAAAAAAAAATGAAGAAGAAAAAAGCGCATCAGATAGGTTCATGTGATTCACCTTGCAACACTCTGGTGTCGAATGCATTCCCTTAGCATCGTACCATAATGCAAAGCCATTTCTGTATTCTCATACCTAAATGGCAAGGAAAAAGAATCATCAGAAATCCATATACCAATAGCCAAAAGATTGACAGATGATCTTCAAAAACGTCTTTTCTTCCTAGGAAACAAATTTTGTAAAAGAAGCTATCCTATCAAGGCTTTAAAAATGACAAAAAATACTACCTCAGCACAACTAGTGCAAAGAAACTTGACTAGATATGTGAATCAACGAGTTACTTTGATTACAACAACGCCTCAATACCAAACAGTTGGGCTCAGCTATATAAATCCTCACTAACCATGTAGCTCTATTAAAGCTTATCTCAGACCAATATTATACAAAATAAAAACAACAACAACAACAACATACCCAGTGAAATCCCACTAGGTGGGGTCTGGGGAGGGTAGAGTGTACGCAGACCTTACCACTACCTCGTGGAGGTAGAGAGGCTGTTTCCAGGAGACCCTCAGCTCAAGAACATCAAATCTAAGTGACAGGAGAGCTATATATAAAACATAACAACCAATCCAAAAGATAGTGTATAATCAACAAATGATACAATAACATCAAGAAAGTAATGTGAGGAGTGAAACGCAGTAAACAGCAATACGGCTAGGACTACTCCAAACGCTAACAACCCATACCCTCGCGAGGGACGGCAACACGCTAACCCTACTAACCTTCCACCTTAATACGCGACCTCCACTCCTTCCTATCTAGAGTCATGTCCTCTATATATATAGATTGTTTTCTTCCATCAAGCCTTATTTTTCACTTAATATGCATCGATTTCAAAAGATTGTATATCTTTCCAGACAACTTCGTCCCAAGTGATTTTAGGTCTACCTTATTCCACTTTGACACCTTCATTCATCATGATTTCATACCTGTGGATCAGTGCATCCGGAGGAAAACACAGGGCACGACCAAAGTATCTCAAGCGATCTGTTCTCATTCTATACTCAATATGTGCTACTTGCACCTTCTGTTAATCTGAATACGGTCTTTTTCAATCTTGTCTAATATAATATGACCACACATCTATCTTAGCATTTGCATCTCTGAACGCTTATCTTGTGAATGTTTGTTGGTCTTAAAATTGTTCTATAAAACTTACCTTTCACTGATGGGCATCCTACTATGACATAGCACCGAGTAGCATTTCTTTTTGGCCATCCTATTTTAATTCTATGTATAACATGTTCATCTATCATACCATTCTTTTTGTTGATTGCCCATGCATAAGAATCAGCAATTTGTATTAGAAAGTAAAAGCCCAAAATTAATTCAAACATTTTAAAAACTCATAAAATGAATCAATTTGGTAATGCAATAAGCACATGATAATAACATGCCACCATATTCCTAAACTTCTTTTCTGCCACTGCTTACCCTGTTACTAATATATCCATCAGATCAATGTTTGCTTCCAAGTAATGACAAGCAATCAACCGCGATTGAACCTGTTGTCTTTGCAGATTTGCAACTACTTGAGTAGCATCTTTACGAGCCTGCAAAAAGTAAATCTCCTTGTAATAGAAAGACAAGAGGATGGAAACAACAAGATCTTATGTGTAATAGGGTCGATAAACATCAAAAGCCAACACCAAATTACCAAATCACATGCAGTGAAACCAGAAGCAAAAACTAGAGAACCAGATGATATTCTCATGAAATGCAGATAAATGCATAAGAAAGCCAATTGATCCAATAAGAGTGAGACAACATGACCACAAGAAACTTCATGCATTCAAGGGTTAAGTATTACCTCTAAATTCAGTTTTGGAAGAATATTAATCAGCAGCCGTAGAGTGTCTTCTCTAAAGAATTCTTGAGTCAGCTGAGAACAAGCATCAGAGACAGGTTCTGATTGACCATTCCCGTAAAGAACACACTTTAAGTCTCGCATTGTCTTGCTTAACTCCATCATCTGCAAATTCGGATGAGGAAAGAAGTACACAACTCAAATTTATAGCCAATTCATGTATGCATATTCAATTAGAAACAGAACTACATATGGTTGTTCCTTCTTCTCATCATGCAATTCATATCAATGGAGTACTCCAAAACCTAAAGATAAAACCAAGTCGAAGGATAACACAACTTTGAAAAGTTGTCCCACTACAACTAGCACGTACACCAAGTAACTTCTATCTACCAGTTTCATCACATATAACTGACCAAACAAATTCGGACTAAGGCATAGTTGATTCATTGGATTGAATTTCTACCAATTTAAGCATCCAATGAAAATCAAAGTAAAGACTTAATTATATTTAAAAAACAACTGATCTAGATCCAAATTTAGCTAACTAAGGACATCCAATTCTGACATTGCACAAAACTATCCAGATTCAAAAGCATACAACCAAAAAAATCAAATAAAAATCAAACCGAACAAACAAAAAAGCAAGACAAACTCGATTTAGGGGTAAAACTACAGTTCTGCATAGATTTTGCCTAAACCACGTACTCCTTCTGTTTAAATTTGTTTGTTTTACTTTCCTTTTAAGTCTGTTTCAAAAAGAACACCTCTTTACTTTTCCATCAAACTCTTTAATCCTAACTTTCAACATGACATGTTTTTAAGACCACAAAATTTAAACATCTTCTTTACTTCTTAAACTCCGTAGCAAGTCAAAATCACACAAACAAATTAAAACATAAGGAGTATATGTGTTGAGAAGATTCACTTAATCTGTATAAACAATTTAATCACAACACCAATAAACTACGTTTCTCTACAATTCAGAACTCATAAACTCAAAAGTCTAGCTTTACCTCCGACTCAAATCACAACTAAACAAAAAATTTAAGCATGTCTAAACACTACGATTGAAAAAAATAAAATAAACAGCAAGAGCATTCTATTTTAATAAACAAATCATTACCTTTACTTCTCGCTTGCTCTCGCGAATATCAGAATTACGCTGTGTATAGATAAGGAGATCACGAGTCTGACGAACAAGTTCAACCGGAGTTTTCGGCTTTGATTTGAATAATAAACCCTTCATCTTCACCCGACCTGTGTCTCCGGCGCCGATTCTATTTTCCGGTAGCGACAAAGCTGCCGCTGCCGCTGCCGCTACTACTGATACCGCCGGCGACCGGAGACTGTTGAACCACCGATCTGCTCCGTTAGCTCTCTGTGCACCGAAGCTACAGCAGATTCCTGTTTTCAGTTGAATCTGATTGGGCCCCACACCCCGAAATATTATCACGGATCTAACATTTTTTTAGTAAGTGGCAAGTAAAAGTATAGTTGCATAATATTATTAGGATACTACTACTTTATTTTATTTATCTATATAAATAAATATCTAAATAGCTAAAATAATTAGTAGTATATAAAATATTTGAATTTTAGAAAATAAAAAAAATCAACCTAAAAATATTCTTAAAAGAATTAATAAGGGTAATTTAATCAAATGAGTAATTTTTATGACGTGCAGAGCACACCCAGATTATTCAGCGAGAAATTTGTGATAAATACTTAGTTGTATCGAATATTTATCTTTAAATAATAAAAATAAAAAGCATGAACATGTTTCTTATACGTAAGTTTATTATGTAATCATGATAAAGTATACGTGCTTTTATCTTATTTTTTTAGCTAATAAAGATTTAAATGATTGTGTTGAAAACTTTGGATGATGATACTTGATGCGGTAAGGATCGATCAATTGTTATTTGTTATCTTTCAAAAAATTTACTTACTAAGATTTTAAGAAATGGAGAAAAATCACCTAATACTTTGTATCGTATGAAATTTAATAGTGAGATCTTATGGTTCTTCTTAATTTAACCATTAGATTACACATTTGAGCGCAATTTAGCCAAATAACTCTTATCGTTAAGACTTACATAAATGTGCTCTTTAACTTGGCTTTAACTAACATCTATGTCCTTCAATTTTAGGTATACACAAGTAGACACTTAAACTAATATAAAATTGAACAAGTAAACACACACATTATACATGGCAATTTTCGTCATATGTGTATTATGCCACGTAGAACGCGTGTGTTTACTCATTCAATTTTATACAAGTTTCAATGTTTATTTGTGCACACCTAAAACTAGAGAACATACATTTTTATTAAAACGAAGTTAAATGACATATTTATGTATTATTCTTATTATAAATGTTGCCTTAGGGAGTGAACAAAAGGCAAAACGATAAATAAATAAAATTGTAAAGAGTGAAACATTATTCTTTTCCTCTTTATAAATCGCATATTAATTTAAATTTTTATTAAAAAAAATTTATGAATTCAAATCAAATATCCAATTAAGAATAAAGCGATCACAATAATATCAAGTTTATTAACATTTAAGGAAGACTTTATCTTCCTCTATAATTTCACATCAATTTTTATTTTTATTTTTGAGAAAACGATCGATTTTAAATGACTTAATAATTAATATTAGCATGGGATCCTATATGATAATATTGACACTTTCACGTGAAGCAACAAAATGTCCTTTTCCTCACAATGAAGACAAATTAATTTTGTCATATTCTCTTAACTAATTCATAGATCCATAATTAAAGGAAAAGGGGAGAGGCAAACAAAAGATAATTTTAATGTGTTCTTTTATTTATTTATTTATTTTGTTCCACTCAATATTTAATATTTATACTGTGATTTTAATATCTATATCCAGTGAGAAAATTGAAATCTCAATATATGATATCTATATTGTGATTTTAATATTTATATAGGGTGGGAAGGTTGAAATTCATCCCTCTTTAATTAGAAATTTTTATTTTCGAATTTCTTTGAATGAAATAGATTCAATTATAAATATTGCATCCATAGACAAATTCTACGATGCATAAATTTAAAATCATTATTTCAGATAGAAAATAAAAGAAAAAGAGTTCAAGTCATTACAAATAGTGACACTTACTTGCACCATTTAATGAATTTAATGCATATAAATAAAAGTAAAAAGGAGATTGATAATTCCAAGCATCAAATAAATGGCTCAAAATTTAATGAAATAAAAAGAAATTTAAGACTTATCCACTCAGTACAACTTTATTTCAACAAGTTGTGCATCCATTCTTTTGAAAAATAAAAATAAAAATCATCTTTTGAGTTAAAACTCTATGTTTAATCGAGAAATTGAACCATTTTTTATTATGCTTATCAAAAAAATTAAATATTTTATATATAACATGATTGTATAAATAATTTTTATTCAAACAAGGCATAAAACTTCAGCTAGATAAAAGATCTTATTAGGAGCAAATATAAAAAATTTAAACTCTTCAAATTCAATATATATACACGAAACTTATATTTTTAGAATTATACATTAAACTTATATTTTATTATAATTTTAATTTTAATAACTTTTTATATATAAATTTATGTTCTGCAATAAAAATACTAGATTTATCTATAAGCCTACAGCTAAATAATTATACCCATTTATATCCACCTTCGCCTAAGAACTTAAATTATATGCATTATCGAAACCCAAAATAAAAGCTATTTGATCATTCAAAAATATGTACAAGTTAACCTTTTTAATATGAAAATTTATAATTTCAAGATAAAATGAATTACATATTACAATAAGTAAAATATGATCAATCAATATTAAGAAAAACAATTAATCATAAAGATAGTATATAACTTAAACTCGTTTGCTATTATAATATCTTCCAAATTCGTGCAATGAGCTGGATCGAAAAAATATTTAGAGGGTTTGAACTTAAAATCCTATTGAAAATCTTCTATTCAACCAACTCGATCACTTTCACGATAAACAAAATGTAAAAGAAAACCAAATAAATTAACAGTAAACAAAGTCACTAATCGAACAGTAATATAAGAAGCATAACAATCACAATAAACACAACTTTTTTTACAACCAAAACAGCAGAAAATTAAACACTTTTTATAATTTTTTGAAGGAAGTGAGATTTCTAAAATTCTCCCATGGCTTATCCCAAACTTCCGCCAAGTACTTATTGCCGCTACGGCTACGACGACCGCCGTCTGTGGCGGAGATGACCAGTCGGTAATTTGTCCCAGCGACGACTTGTGTTTCTCCTTTCACCACTTGTTTAAACACTAATTTGGATTTGTATTCAGACTTGGACTCCTCGTTGTACTGATCCACTGCAAATTTCCCGATCTCCACTACCTTACTGTCTTTTGTGTCGGTTATACGACTCCAACCGCCGAGTAAACCGCCTTTTCCTCCGCCGAGTGAAGCAGAGGCGTGGAAGAAGAAGGAAGCGATCACCACGGCGGAGAAGAGAGTTCCGGCGAGATTGCGGTTGAATTTTAGGGCCATTTTTGTGTGTGAGAGAAATAGGGGTTTTGAGAATTTAATGCGGGGAAATGTTAACGTGTGAGAAGTTAATATAGAGGGTGCACCTTCTTAATGAGATCTGGTCACGTAACTTGGTTTTTTAATTAGATGTCTCGAATTTAAATTTTTTGATATAAAAAAACTCTTATGTTAAGAGTATCGAACATAAATGAATTTGCAGTATGTAAATTCAACAAAAACTCTTATATTAAGAGCAGGGGCGGCTCTATGCTTTAGAAAATAAGGCCTTTGCCTTAGGCCCCCAAATTTCAGGGGCCCCAAATTATTGTCAAGAATAAATTATGTGTTTAAACTTTTATAGAAAAAATAATTATTTATGATAAAAAAGTATAATTTTTTTTAAAATAAATTATTTTATCCACTTTAATATCTTTTGTACTTTGTTAAAAATAAAAATTAATAGTGAAAAGTGTTGAACAAAGTGAATTACAAATTCTTTTTTATTTCTTTTTAAATTTTAGTTTCAAGCATTACTATAAGCATATTAAAATGAGGTATATCAAGTCATCAACTTCTTGAGTCAACTTCTATGGTTCTAACTCTTATTTTTATTTAATATTTATCAACTTATTACTTATAGCATTATGTTAACAATACATATAAATTGTCTCACTTAAAGCATGTTTTTCAATGTTGAGTTGATAAAATCATACCTAAAACTAGTAACTGAAAAAAACAATATTAAGTACTAGTAATTTTCATCTAAATATTGTAATTTTTTTTTTTGAATAAATACATATATGAAGTATATTTATTATTTTAGGCCGCGAATTGAAATTTTGCTTTAGGCCCCCAATTACGTTGAGCCGCCCCTGCTTTCTAGTGTACACGATTCAACTCCAATACGAATATCGAATATAAATTATTTTTTAAAGTTTATGTAAAGTTCTTAAAGTCAAGTTCACATGGGTACCATGTCATGGTCGGGTTCATGGTCACGGGTGGAGTTTTTATATTTGACTTTAATAAATATATTTTTTATAATCTTCATATCCAAGATAATTATCAAAAATATAATGTAACTTCAACTGATTGAGGATATGACGGTAAATAGAAAGGTATAAAGGCCATTCACCTAGTTCAATTCCTTGCCTTTTGTTATTTATTATTGTCTGTTGTTTACTATGTTATGGTGATCACAATATTTTATTAATGTCCTCATTCTTTGCTTGCTTTTCTATTAGTTGCTATATTTCTCACGATTGTTTTTTCTTTTCATTACTATTTTGATTTGCTTCATTTAAGTCGATTTTTTTAAAACAGTCACTAGCTACAAGATTATAATAAGGTATGCATACACTCTATTTTTCCCATCACTGTAATATTATTGTTGTGCCAGAACTAACTTGCTCACACCTAGATTAAATTCACAAAATACTAGTGTAATCGTAAAAAAAAAGTCTGAGAAGGACATAGTGTTTGCAAGTCTTACCCTTACAAGGTAAAAAAGTTGATTTCAATAGATTCTCAAGTAAAAGCATTACAAAACAAATCGACAAAAAAGAAAACAGTGGAATAGAAGAAGTCAAAGACAAAATGTTAAAGAAAGCATGACAAACCACAAAGTAATATGATAATCGAAGTGCAAGAAACAGTAAAATAACAAGAAACTCAGTATAATACTATGAAAGTATGAAAGAGTAAGCTTGATATAATATTTGGCCTCACAGTAAAAGGAATAATCTAACTCAGATAACTCCCAACTATGATTCTCTAAGAAGAGAAAAATATGGTGACAATGGTCAATTTAGTTAGAAGGTAAGTACAGGGATGCAAAAACCATAACATGAAAGATCAAAATTTGATCAACAAAATCTTTTGGTTTCTCAAGATATCTCAGTTACTGGACATTCAATTAGAAAAACGACGATACCTATGCACGCGAAGAGA